TTTCAATGACTATGTTAATTGATTAGTATTTTATGTACAAAATAGTTCTGAAAGTATTTACCACTAATTACAACTGTGGCTTAAGTACTAACAGTAACACATGCCTGCATGGGTATGCACACATCTACACACACACATATATATAGATGCATCTATCTATCTATCTATCTATCTATCTATCTATCTATCTATTTAGATAGATAGATATGCCTAAGCGACTGTCTGACCAGTAGCTATGATGCCCAATGGCCATTAGGGGGCAGATGCTCAACGCAGGAGCTGCCGAGCTGTGGTGACTTGGCAGCTGTGGTTCTCAGGCAACGCACCCAGAACCAGAGAGGAGCGAGCCCGATTCTGGGGTGTGTCACCCAAGAACCGCCCTCTCACAATCCGGGACCCCTCAGGGGATGTCGGAGAGCTGGTTTTGGCCTGATCCCCGCAGGCCAGACTGAGGGACCCCACTGGTGCACGATCAGGGCCAGGGAGGGACTGTGGGAGGACTCCAGGGAATGTCCAGCCCATCTCGCCCAGTCCTGATCAGGGCCGGCCGATCAGGGCCAGCCAGCCAGCTGTGGAGGGACTGCGGGAGGTTGGCTGGCCAGGAAGGGACCATGGAAGGGTTCCAGAGTGTATCTGGCCTGTCTCACCCAGTCCTGATTGGCCAGACCCCAGCAGGAAGCTAACCTACTGGTCGGAGCGGCTGCCTCCTGGTGGTTAGTGTGCGTCATAGCAACTGGTCAAATGAATGGTCGGACACTTAGCATATTAGGCTTTGATTATATAGGATGATAATGACTTTTAAAGTATAAACGGTGAGGCTGAAGAAAAATTAACTACAGCTCAAGGAAAACCTTAATACACAAATTTTATTTCTATTGATATTAACATCCTCAAGTTTAATCATACAAATAAGGTCATTTTTTCTCGATTAAAATGTTTAAAACAATGACTTTTGTTAGCATATATCAGCCTTTGTGCAAGTTCAGTATTTTTGAAACAGTATTCACTAAAGGTCACATAAATCAAGACTAAAGGTTTTTCTAATACAAAATAATCATTAAAAATAAAAAATAAAAATGATGCTCATTAAATGCTGATTATAACTGAAACCTAGACTCCATGTTGATAAATATCTTGTTATAATTCAATCAAAAAAAAGATTCAATGTAAAATGACTTGGTTTTTGGAGAAGAGATAACATTAGAATTAATGGTTTACTCTTTGGATAGATACATATGAAAGGTGTAACAATATTCCTTAAAAATTATTTTGTGATTATAAAATTTAATGACTATTCTCTGTCCTTACTGGGGGAAAAAATTAACTTATAAATTTTAAATAATTTTTTCTGCAAAATATTATTCAATATTTAATCTACTGCTACAAAGAATCAATCTAAAGGGAACACTACTAATCATTTATTATAACATTAAAAACTATAAATAAAAATTAAAATTATTTAGATAGAACATTACCTTGCAAGTCCAATACCAAATCCAGCAAATCTACTCAACTGTTCTAAAATAGAAGAAATAAGATTACTCATAACCAATATTTAGATTTACTGTAAAAAACAAAAAAAAATATTTTCTTTTATTAACACGATATTCATTTAAAACCAGGTCCCCAAGTCAAGTCCTGATAGGGGCCAGGGAATTCATTTGAATGAGTGAAGAACTCTATTGGGCTTGTGGCAAGTTGCAAGGCACAATTGCTCTTCAGCTCCAATTCATTGTTGCAATGTGGGACTGTGAGCTCAGGGTTGGTGTCTAAGCTGTGATTTTTCTAAAAAATATTATTTTTATGTGGTATCTTTTAATAAAAAAGATTGGCAACTGTTTTAAAAAGCAGTAAAACATTATGTGGGCCAAATCAAACATATCTGCAGGTAGAATCTAAGGGCTACCAGTTTGTAACTTCTGACTGCAAACAACATACAATTTTTTCTGTAGAAAGCTCTGATATGTACACCAACTTTACCTCCCATATTGTAAAATTAGTCATTCACTGTTAGTGGTAGAGAGCATCTATGTTAAACCAACAGTCACAAGTAAAACACCATGAAATTATTAAATTGAAAGAATAATCAAAATGGGCAATAAAGGGCTCTCAATCTCTTTTCTCTCTCTTCTCTCTTATCCCATCTCCCCCCGCCCCCCCTCAACTCTGCTCTTTTAAATGAAGCAACACACTATTTCCTTACAGTCAGAACAAGACCATGTAAACATGTCCCTGAGGACATTATTTGGTTCACCCTTATTTTGGAAAATGTATAAGCGAGATAGCTTTTCTTTGCCCAAGTTAAGGTATTTTCCTCCTTTCAGCTCTTTCTCCTTTTTGTGTGTCCCGATCATCCCCTAATATTAACAGAAAATACCATATTTTCTGGAAGGTATTAGGAAGGTTTATTATTAACTGTATAATGCTCTCAGCCTTCTATCCACCTTGCAAAGTAGACTCACCAGCCTCTTACTACTGCTAAAAAACAACAGCCCTAGTTACATTAAGAGCTCCTCCTCATTGTAACCATCAAAGCATAAATTATGAAAAAATAATCTAAACTTTACTGCCTAAGAATGTAACTATGTAGCAAGTATATATGCATTTTGAATTATTTCATTTATAATTTTCCAGTACTCCTCTTGGGACCAACAGAAAGAAAACCAGACAGAGTGAACAAGCTAATTGCATGACACTAAATCACTGGTCCGCCTCCACATCATTTGCTTATCATACTGCATTTAAAGTCTATTCCTCATAGTTATCCCAAATCAATCTTATTATACCTGCAAGTCAAAATAGAAGAAATGAGAATAAAACTGATGTTTAAAATATATTTTATATTCAATGATAAATATACTTACATTTATATCTATATATATAAAAGCCTAAGCATACAAACGACCAGTCGACTGGTTGCTATGACGTGCACTAACCACCAGGAGGCAGATGCTCAACACAGGAGCTTCCCCCTGGTGGTCAGTGTGCTCCCACAGCAAACCTCGGTGGCCAGCCAACCTCCCGCAGTCCCTCCCCCTGGCCGGCCAACCTCCTATGCCTCCCTGGGCCGGCCAGCAGGAGGGGCTGCAGGAAGTTGGCCACCAGCTCCCATCAGGACTGGGTGAGATGGTCCCAATCGGCTTGATCCCCAGCCAGGCCAAGAAACTCCACCTGTGCATGAATTCGTGCACCGGGCCCCTAGTTTAATATAATCTACTATTCTAACAATTTCAGGAGAATGGGAAGAGGGTGCCATTATTTCCATTTTATGAATAAAAAAAGATGTTGAGAATATCTAAATCACAAAGTACTGCAATTAAAAGACAGGTCTTCTGACAATCCTTTGGAAAATAACTATGTCTTGAATTCAAAGTCTTATTTTGAAATTGTATCAAGTGATTTTTGCTTGTTAGAGGAATTTTTAGGTCAGAAAAAAAAAAGCAGAAGGTGGGTATATTTCTCAATTCCATAAATCTTTACAGAGTTCCCATGGGGGTATATGAATTTAGGATCTATAATTTATGTAAATAGAAAAGTGTTACTAGCCCGTTAAAAATAAAAAAGAATAAAATTACAACTTCTCTATGTATTTCAAGCGAATCATTTAATATGAGTGAGGCTCAATTTATATTACCATTAAGTTTTAGCAGAAGAAAAGGGGAAAGTATAAACATTTTCTGTTCTACCAAAAAGGGGTTTGATGCCAGGGGGTATTTTGGGGCTTAGAAAACAGACTCAACTGCTTTAATTAAAAGGGAAAAGGAAGGAAACAAATATTTGCTCCACAATGTACTGTGCATCACTCATATCTCATTTTATTTAACCCTTAAAGAACCCTGTTATTCTTCTATCCACCTTAAAGATGAGAAAACTGAAGGCTCACAGACGTCTACACCGTCTCTCAGCTTTTAATACTGGTAGAGCCGGGTTTGAGCCCAAGCCTGTCCATGCTGGAAAAAAACACACACAATACTCTGCAGAACACAAAGCTACAATGAACCACATCAAGTAAATGCAGTGGTCACTGAATTAGCTAAGACAGGTGTCTTTTTTTTGGAAGTCATCCCGGAGAAAACATTCGTGCGAGGACGAGAGAGGAGGCCCGCTTCAAGGGCAGAGGACGCGGGGAGGGCGCCGGGTGTGGCGCGCGATTAGAACCCGAGGCCCCGAAGGCGGGACCCTCGGCGCGGCTCCCGGGGTCCGCGGGCCGCCGCCCCGCAAGTCCCCTCACCCAGGCCTGGCTCCCGGAGTCCCTCACCCGTGCTCGGGCCGGCACGCCGCCGCCGCTGCCGCTGCCGCCGCCGCCGCCGCGGGAAAGGGCTCCTCCGCGGGGCCCTCGGGGGTGGAGGGGGCGGGCACGCCATAGGGCGGGCTCTTCTCGCCCCAGTGCAGGTTGCGGCTCCCGGGGATGTCTGGGGGAGTGGTCACCCAGTGGCCCAGCTCCGGCCCGGAGCTGAAGGACCTTGCAGGGAAGGCCACGCCAAAACCGCGCTCATCCCGTGCACTCCCGCGATAGCCCAAGCCATCGAACCCGTCCGGGCGCCGCGGATGCATCGCAGGCGGGGCAGGACGAGGCAAGCCCCCTGGAGCCCACCACTACTGGGGCCGCACAGTTCTCCCTCCTCCTCCTCCTCCTCTTCCTCCTCCGCTGCCGCCGCTGCCGCCACCGCGTCCGGAGAAACTGACAACCGGAAGTCACGTTGACAACCCGGAAGTTCACAGCGCACGTGATCATAGCCTTTTCCGGCGGTCTTCGGAGACGCGGTTGCTAGGGAGACGATTCGGGTATACGGAGCCCGCCTTTAAACTGTCGCCATTAGGGAGGAGGAAGTGGTGAGGTGACCGGAGTTAATGGAACACTGTACCAAGGAAATGCCGTGAGGAAACAGGGATGGGCGATGCGACCTGGGTCAGAGAAGGTCGAGTGAAGACGTCTCATAGGGAAATAATAACTAAGGTCTCGCGGGAACTGACTCGCGGAGATCTCAGCCTGAACGTCCCGCTACACACAAAGGCCTCGGATCTCGGTCTTTTCTCACCAGGCTGGTGCCTCACCTGCCACAGGGAAGTTGCTCAGGTGCGAGATATTTGTAATAACACATCTAACTTTGCCTCCCGCACTTGGCGTTTTAGGGAAAATCGAGAGAAGTTCGTCCCGGTGAGCGCAGAGGTGGTGTGGACGGCGTAAGTAAGCATTAAAAAGGAAGGTGCAGGGAGACAACCCCCCTCTTCTGTCCTCTCCGGCTCCTCGCCATGAACATAAACTACACTCAGGGACTTAAGGAATTAAGCATTTTGCTTTTCCAAAGCCACAAAAGACCTACAAATCGTCTTCTGTGGGTATTTTATGCTGCATCTAAATCAGGGTATTTATACCTTTACAAATCAAGACCTTAGTTGGAAAATTAAAATGACCCTACTACCTGTTTTCATCAGCTCCAAGGGCTCTTCGGGCGGAGTCCCTGTCCCTAGATCTGACTGAGCCTACCGTGGGTTCTTCCTGTGCCCCTTCTCCCCACTGGGGCCCAGCATTCCGAGGGCGTCCGGAAGAGAACCCTGACGCACTCTTCTCAATCTTCTAGAAGGGAACCTTTATTTAAAGCGATAATCAAATTCGTCTGAAGTGGACTGACATGCTTGAGTTGTGATGGGGCTTGGGCAAATGTATGTAGTCTTTCCCTTAAAATGTGTATCCAGTATTACTTGAGGGCGAGTACCAAGTGACTATGTAACCAGTATTAGTTACAGCACATGGCAATAAAATAATATTTCCCTGTTCCTTAGGAATATTGGCTCAAAGATGGGACTAGCTCAGAATCAAAATTTTATTTATTTATTAAAAGGAGAAGGAGGAAAAGGGGTGTGTGTGTATGTGTGTGTGTGTATGCTTTTAATAAATACACCAATAAAAGCAATGGCATCTTACAATTTACATTCATATCAGTGAAGAAAGGATGAATTATTCAAAGGAGGACAACTGGGAAGCCAGTTGAGGGGAGAAACAGTAACAGCCCCATCTTGCAATTTATTGCCAAATAAATTCCAGCTATAATATATTGCATTTTTCCCTTTTAAAAAATATTGAATACAGAAAGAAAATAAAAGGTGAATATTTTTCAAGTAGATTGAAAAACTTTCTAAAAGTGACAATAAAGCAAAAAGCCATCTAAGGAAAGACTAATCAATTTGACCATGGTACATTTACATTTCTTTTTTAAAAATATATTTTATTGATTTTTTACAGAGAGGAAGGGAGAGGGATAGAGAGTCAGAAACATTGATGAGAGAGAAACATCGATCAGCTGCCTTCTGCACACTCCCTACTGGGGATGTGCCGGCAACCAAGGTATATGCCCTTGACCGGAATCGAACCTGGGACCCTTGAGTCCGCAGGCCGACACTCTATCCACTGAGCCAAACCAGTTAGGGCTTAAATTTCTAAATAAATAAAAAAGGAAAAATATATTAAGCAAAATTGAAAAATGAGTCACAAATTGGGAAATGTCACATTTTTAACATGAGTTATAAAATGGGTCACTTTATTGTAAAAAAAGAAAAAAGAGAAAAAAGCTCTTACCAATAAAGGGAAATCAGTAGAAATGTGAGCAAAGGACATGAAGAGGCAAATCATAAAAATGAAATGTAAAGGGATAATGGTTATACGAACAAGAGATAATCATTCTGGAAGTTGTCAGCCTTATTCAGTCTTTGAAAACAGAGAGACCATGTTTTTGTTCTCTCTGTTATATCTTAGTTTTATTTTTACCCTCAACTTACTGATCTTTTAGGAGAAATTTGTTTCAGAGAAGCCTGGGACTGGATATTGTAATTTCTGTTTTTCCAAACTTTATTACTTTTTAAAGTGAATTAATTAACTTTACATTTTTATTATATTTTAGTATAGTTTTGAGTTTACACATGCACACACACACACACAAAATAAGAGGTACAGAGTTTTCCCATACTCTCCCTTCCCCCACACATGCATAGCCTCCTGCATTATCAATAACCAACCATTTGGTATATTTGTTATAATTGATGAACTTGACACATCATAATTGTCCAAAGTTCACAGTTTAAGAGTTCACTCTTGGTGTTATACATTCTGGTTTGGGTTAATACTTTCTGTTTAAAATATAAAAATTTGCTATAAAATCACAAGACTTACTTGATCCTTGTTATGAACAGAAACAATTTTGGATTGATGTATCTGAAGTTTTCATCAGTTAAAGTGTCTTGAAGTTCTTAATATTTTAAGGCAATTTACTTAACAAGAACAATCTCTGTAAATTAACTTTAAAGTTAATCAGAATTCCTCAAAATTTGTGGTGTTTTTGAAGTTGAAGTTGCTCGTCACTTGGTAGACAGGGAATTTTATAAGGATTTGAATTAGAAAATACTAATGGATACTATCTTCAAAAATTGGCATTCTTTTGAATTGAAATTTGCCCCCTTGTGGTTAATACTTACAGAACACCCTGGATGTTTTGTTTATCCACCATTAGATACAGATTTTCTATGTAAAAGGAGCCTTTGAACAGCAATTCAGTTAAAAGAAACAGCTACCTTTGTATAAGTATGCTGTTTTAATTTTAAGTGTAGATTATTATGTTTTGGGGGACGAGGCTATGGAGGAGGTATTTAGGCATTGAGGGGACACTGGCAATGTCATTCCAGTTCTCGCTGCAGCTACTGCTGGATAGCTAACGTATGTACAGTATTAAAACCGAATCATTACTATGTGCTTTATGATTATATTTTAAAGCTAATGAAGGTCTTTCACCTAAAATTGCATCTATTTGTTCGATACTGAACACAAATGTGGTGAAGGCGGGGAAAGGACGGTGGAATTGCACTTAAAGGTCCTGATTGGTTAAACCATGTCAGGAGACGCTAAAAGAGCAACATTCCGGCTCCAAGAACGGCTCTTACAGCGTCCTTAGCAACCAGTCTTGGTCCCCAGCAACCCTGAGCGCTGTGGTGAGTTTGTGTGTGACTGCTAGGTTTTGCTTCTGAGGACCTGAGTTAAGGTTATCGCCACACTCACCACGCTGGGCAACGGGGAGATCCACAAAACCCCACTCATGGGAGCACTGAGCCTATTTTTTTAGGGTTCCATGGATTTGGCTGTTGGAAGAAGCTTCCATCATTACTCGCGCCCCTAGGCAGGCTAGGCAGGCCAGCCCGCTGGACAGTTAAGTCCTTGTATAGTAGGTGAAATTGCCTCTCTCTCTCTCTCTCTCCCCCTCTCTCTCTTTCTCTCTCTCGTTCAAAAATTTGAAGTGTGTGTGTTTGGGGAGGGGGGTCACTGAGGATGTGAAATGCAATTTTTTTTAAAAGGCAGTCGAGAAGGTGGCACAAGTTATTGACTAGGAAAAATTTCTAGGAGGAGGTGAGATGATTATAGGATTCCCTTATTTACCTTATTTCAACAATATGTCTGAATTATATCTTTTTTTTGGTGGTCTTTGGTCCAATTATCCTGTATTTCTTAAGATTATAGTCTAAATCTTACATTCTGTAATGCAGGTTACCTATCCAAAGGCTTTGCTGTAATTTTTAACATTGTCCAGTTCTCAGGAAAAAAAATTTTTTTAAACAAGTGTACCTTTTCTAACCTTATTTAACTGGAACTTTAACAAAAATACACTAGGGATTAATGTTGAAATCTCTTTTTTTAAAATTCTGGGTCTATGCCAGGTGGCAAATGAACTGCCAAGCACCAGACTGCTTGCTGGAGCCATTTCATCAACTGAAACATACCTCTTCAGTGCATATATGTTCTTTGTTTTGATGTCTCAAATAACTTTTTCTTTTCCATATTCACAGTAAATTTAATTTTTTTTCAGTTGGTTCCCAAGTGAATCATTAACAGGTTAGCAGTTTCATACTGATCATCGGAAGGTGATGTTCTTGCTTTGTTTTTGTTTTTTCCCCCCATCTCTTTCCAAAGTCATTTCTGTCTATGTTAATAATTTTAAAAAAGGAATTAGAGGACACTTGATAAAATGCTTTTTGCTGAACTCCCTGAATAGTACTTTGTTTTTCTACTTGATTCTCACAAGGAAAAGAGTAAATAATGTGGAGGGATGTGAGCTTTATAGCTGTGGGGTCACTGGAACAAGTGTGATCTGGGGAAGAGCCTGATATGCACCGTGCCGGATATGCTCAGCTTCCTGCTAAAAAAGTGGTTATTTATACATATGGGATACTTATACATATGGGCTTTTTATACATATGGGTTTCTTTTACATATGGGTTATTTATATATATACATTATTTATACATATGGGTTAGTTATACATAGGTGGGGTTTTTTTGTTTTTTGTTTTTTGTTTTTTAAGAGAACAGAAATTTATTGCATCACAGTCCTATATCAAGGTATCAGAAGGACCACCACCCTCTGAGACTTTGGGTAGAATTCTTTCTTCCTTCCATCTTCCTTCTCCTCTCTTGTGAATCTATTGTAGGTTTTTTGTTGTGTGGTTACTGGAGCTTATATAAAACTTCATCTAGATATAAAAGTCCATTTTACACTGACTACAACTTTGATTTTATACAATAACTTCCCTTTAATTCCCTCTCCTTTATGTTTTTTTTTTCTAGAAATACACAGACATTTTTAATGGAAGCAAAATGGGGCAACGGCGTCACAGCTAACAGGGATTGAGCTCAGGCTAGGCAGAGCTGGTGCTGTGCCCAGGTCATGGAAACCACAGCAGCCTGGAGGAGGCAAGCAGGGGTGGGGGCGGGGCGGGGGGGGGACGTGGCCTTGGGGGGCCAGGATGGAGCCCAGGCTGCCAGCTTCATCCCTGGGAAGGAGCGGAGGCTCTGCCCCAGGTGGTTCTGCGAAACCTGAAGGGTGGGCACCTGGCGGTCCCAGAGACTCCTCACCCTAATTACTTAATCACACAGCCAGTAATCAATCAACCCACCAGTATATAACCATAGCCAGCCCAGTGAGCCTGCGAGCCCAGTGGTGAGCCTGCGAGCCCGGGTCATGGAAGCCAAAGCAGCCTGGCGGCAGGGGGTTGGGGGTGGCCTGGCCTTGGGGGCCTGCGAGGAGCCCAGGTTGCC